CATAGCTTCCCCAATCTATTTAAGGTTTACAATTTTCTATTTCCGTAGCTATTATCTCTTTTTTTTTTTTTTTTTTTTTTTTTTTTTTTTTTTTTTTTTTTTTTTGAGACAGAGTTTCGCTCTTGTTACCCAGGCTGGAGTGCAATGGCACGATCTCGGCTCACCGCAACCTCCGCCTCCTGGGTTCAGGCAATTCTCCTGCCTCAGCCTCCCGAGTAGCTGGGATTACAGGCACGCGCTACCATGCCCGGCTAATTTTTTGTGTTTTTAGTAGAGACGGGGTTTCACCATGTTGACCAGGATGGTCTCGATCTATTGACCTCGTGATCCACCCACCTCGGCCTCCCAAAGTGCTGGGATTACAGGCGTGAGCCACCGCGCCCGGCCCGTAGCTATTATCTCGGTAAAGGAGGTATGACTAGGGAAGTACTGCGTGATATCCCGGTAAAACAGAGGCAGGGGAAGCTAATGTAGTGGACGGGGGGGTCTAAGTTACACAGAACGCTCGGTGGTGTAAGTAACAGTAGCTTAATTTCTGTACCAGGTACCACGCCCTCTGCGACGGCTTTGCAGGCGTTAGCATCTGTGAAGTATGTACTTGTTTCCTGTCGCATACGCGAGAAACTGACACCAACAGTGTCCACATTCACTCCGCCGCTAAGCAGTGGGGCAGGAATCGAGGTTAACAGCTACGCCACATAGCTTTCTCAGAGATACAAAGCCAGCACTTACTATCAAAGGGCGGCTGGAATCAAGGCATTTCAGCGTATCCGGAAATGTGCGGCAATCTGTAAACGCTCCCGAGGAGACCTGAGATCCCGGCTGTAAAGTAAGCTGAGCCGGGTGGGAACGGTTCCCTGACCCAAGCCCTGCTAGAGCCCGGAGCCTCTAGCCCAGGGCCGCTTCCGGAACCCGTGAGTGCGGGCCCCGCCACTCCGGGGGCGGGGCGAGCGCCGCGCATGCGCCGGGGTTGAACCGCGCCGGGCCGGGCTAGGGGCGTGCGCTCTGGGAGCTGGATGTCCGGGCTGCGGGCGCTGCTGGGGCTCGGGCTGCTGGTTGCGGGCTCGCGCCTGCAGCGGATCACAACCCAGACCAGCGCCTGCCGCTCGGGACCGACCTGGTGGGGACCACAGCGGCTGAACTCGGGTGTCCGCTGGAACTCAGAGGTCATGGCGAGCACCGCGGTGAAGTACCTGAGGTGGGCGGGGGTCTCGGGTGGGCGGGGCCTGGGACGGCCGGGCCACCTGTGCGACCGAGAACTCGAAGGACGGGACTCAGTCCGCGGGTTTTCCTCAGCCAGGAGGAGGCCCAGGCCGTGGACCAGGAGCTATTTAACGAGTACCAGTTCAGCGTGGACCAACTTATGGAGCTGGCCGGGCTGAGCTGTGCCACAGCCATCGCCAAGGTCAGTGGCACAGCTCTCGACCTTTGGGACCATCCAGGGAGGAGTCACTGTGCCAGCCCCCGGGCCTAGGCACAAAGCGGTGGGAGAGACAGCTGGGCCAATCTGGTCTGTTACTGCCTGAAACCCCGCTGAACCACCCTTGACTCTGCCTTCAGGCATATCCCCCCACGTCCATGTCCAGGAGCCCCCCCACTGTCCTGGTCATCTGTGGCCCGGGGAATAATGGAGGAGATGGTCTGGTCTGTGCTCGACACCTCAAACTCTTTGTGAGTATGCCGGGCCGGGCTGCGGGGGAGGGTGTGAGGGCTCTGGGATCTGGGTTCGAATTACTATTTTCCTTTCTTCCTAGGGCTACCAGCCAACCATCTATTACCCCAAAAGGCCTAACAAGCCCCTCTTCACTGCGTTGGTGACCCAGTGTCAGAAAATGGACATCCCTTTCCTCGGGGAGATGCCCTCAGAGGTAGGTGGCTCCAGTTTAATACCTCATCTCCGAGTACCCACTGCCTGTGCTCTGCCCTTCCTTCATGTTTCCAGGCTGAGCTCATTTTAGTGCCTGGTACAGCAGATGCCTAAAGGATGCTATTTGAGTAAGTGTATAAGAGCCATCTCCTTTACAAAGTGTTCTCCATGAGTCTCCCACACCACCTTCTTTCCCTCCCACCCCCCCCAACCAACAAACTCACTGCTTAGTATCACAGAACCACAACACCTTCTCTAAAGCTTCCTTCCCCTTTCATCTCTCTGGTCCCTCCTACTCTAGTCAGATCCTCTTGCCCTAGCATGCAGTCAACACATGATCTGCCCCTCAGGGGCTGGAGTGACTGCCCTATCTGAAACTCTTTCTGCAGATGCATGGATTAAGGGGTGGGAAATTAATTTTTTTTCCTTAACCCATTTTACAGATGAAGATACTGAGGCACAGAGAAGTGGTTTGCCTAGTCACTGAATTGGATCATGGCAGAGCTAAAACCAGAATCTGGCTCTCTTGACTCCATTATCAGGCTATCCCACCCTGTAGCCTCCCCAGTGGCAGGCAGGCACCCAGAACAAAAACTGTCTGGATTCAGTTTGGCCTGAATCAGTGACCAACTCACACTTTCTCTAGGCCTCAGGCTACCCTCTTTATGGGATACAATACTTGTGCCTCTGTGAATGCTCTGCAGGTGCAGAGGACAGCCTCTCCAGTTCAGGTTGCTTGTGCAGCTGCTTGCTCTGACATCCTTTTTTGGCTCCACCACAGCCCACGGTGATTGATGAACTGTATGAGCTGGTGGTGGATGCCATCTTTGGCTTCAGCTTCAAAGGTGATGTTCGGGAACCATTCCACAGCATCCTGAGTGTCCTGAAGGGACTCACTGTGCCCATTGCCAGCATCGACATTCCCTCAGGTGCTGGGACCCAGAAGGTGGGGTGGGAATGGGTGGCGATTGGGGCCCTACCCTCCTGATTTTTGCCCAGACAGGCCTAAAATAAGAGTATAGAGGGGCCACGCCTGTAATCCCAGCACTTTGGGAGGCCGAGGTGGGCGGATCACGAGGTCAAGAGATTGAGACCATCTTGACCAACATGGTGAAACCCCTTCTCTACTAAAAATACAAAAAAATTAGCTGGGCGTGGTGGCGCGTGCCTGTAGTCCCAGCTACTTGGGAGGCTGAGGCAGAAGAATTGCTTGAACCCAGGAGGCAGAGGTTGCAGTGAGCCCAGGTCACACCACTGCACTCCAGCCTGGCACCTGGTGATGGAGTGAGACTCTGTCTCAAAAAAAAAAAAAAAAAAAAAAATTGGCCGGGCGCGGTGGCTCAAGCCTGTAATCCCAGCACTTTGGGAGGCCGAGGCGGGTGGAACACGAGGTCAAGAGATCGAGACCGTCCTGGTCAACATGATGAAACCCCGTCCCTACTAAAAATACAAAAAATTATCTGGGCATGGTGGCGCGTGCCTGTAATCCCAGCTACTCGGGAGGCTGAGGCAGGAGAATTGCCTGAACCCAGGAGGCGGAGGTTGCGGTGAGCCGAGATCGCGCCATTGCACTCCAGCCTGGGTAACAAGAGCAAAACTCGGTCTCAAAAAAAATAAAAATAAAAATAAAATAAAAATAAATAAATTAAAAAAAAAAAAAGAGTATAGAGGGGCAGAACATAGCTTCCTAGACCCCCATCAGGGACGGGGAATGGCATTCACAAGTCCCCTTTACATGTTGGGCCTATGAAGAGACCATGGCCCAAGGGTACGTGGAGCTTGTAGGATGAGAGCTCCTTAGGTGGGAACTGAGAGGACTTCCCACTTCTCTGGGACTAGGGTAAAATAAGGTGTAGAAGGGGCCAGGACATCTGGCCTCTTCCTGAACACCACCCTTTTTCAGGATGGGACGTGGAGAAGGGAAATCCTGCAGGGATCCAGCCAGACTTGCTCATCTCCCTTACGGCACCCAAAAAATCTGCAACCCAGTTTACCGGTCGCTACCATTACCTGGGGGGTCGTTTTGTGCCACCTGCTCTGGAAAAGAAGTACCAGCTGAACCTGCCACCCTACCCTGACACCGAGTGTGTCTATCGTCTGCGGTGAGGGAAGGTGGGTGGGTATTCTTCCCAATAAAGACTTAGAGCCCCTCTCTTCTGGAACTCTGGAGTCCTGGGAGCTCCTCTGGCAATAAAGCTCAGTGAGTGGTGGAAGTCAGAGAGCAACCCTGGGATTGGGTGCCATCTCTCTAGGGGTAACACAACAGGCAAGAGATTGCTATGGTATTTGGAAACAATGAAAGTTGACTGTCAGATGCCAAGTGAGTTGTGTTGTCCTTTACACAATTCTTATTCATTTGGGAAACAGGGAGCGACTTCCACTTATCAGTGTAGCGAGACTACAAGAAGGTTAACAGAAGGAATTTCTTCAGAGGCCTCCAAGGAGTTTCTAAGTTGTATTCAGGACCTTCCCATGCTGGGAACAGAGATGCCAGTCGGGATTTATCTCTAGGCTAGGAACCCACGTTGATGTTTATTCATTCATTTGGTAGTGCTAGAAACTGGCAGCTGTGGGCTAAATCCAGCCCATAGACCTAAATTTGTTTTTCTTAACCTTCACAATATTTAGGAATCAGAGCACTTCACATTGTCTACATTTTCAGCTACTTTTAAGAGGAAAGCTCCTTGAAAGGGTATCTGCATTCCTTGTCCCTTAGCTGTCTGACTTCTCTAGGCACCTGAGTTCATGATCCTGGGCTACAAGCTACAGAAGGGACTATGCTGGTTCCCTCAACTAAGGTATAATACTGCTGGCTCCTCTCAGCAGTGGACGTCCTGGAGATCAGTTTCCTTTTTGGGAGAGACTCCTCATTGAGAGGGGTGCAGAAGACCTGCAGACCTGTATGGACCCTGTTTGAGCCTTCAACCCCTGAAAATGCATCGCTTGAGCCCCACCTTGGCCAGACCTTTAGTCTCTCTCCTTCTGTTTCTTCTTTTTGGCTCTCTGGCCAGTGCTGACTCCAGCTCTTTCCTCCTCGGGATGCTGCCGCTTCCTCCTCTTACCTCTGCTGCTTGAGTCTGTGCATGCTCTGCTTGCTTCCCTAGCCCCGCCATCCTCCTTCTCCCTCACATCCAAGATATCCTCCCTCTCTTGATGCTGCTGTCTTTTCTTCGTGCTTCTCCTGCTTCTTCCATCACTGCATGCTCTGCTCTCTGCTTCCCTGGTCCCACCACCTAAAACAGTTTCCTCACCTCCATCCTCTGGGTTCCAGTCCTCCTCCTGTTGCTGCATCTTCTTTCTTCGGCTGCATGGGTCAGCAGATGCCCTGTTCTCTACCTCCTCCGTCCTGACACTGCCTGCTGCCTCCTTGCCTTCTCCTCTTTCTTCTAAGACCCCCATCTTCTCCTCTTCATGGTGCCACCTCCTCTTTTTCTTCCTTTTCCTGAGGGACCGATTGGTTTGCTCTCTATTCAATTCCTCAAGCCCACTTGTTCCTGCAGCATCGTCCTCCTCCTCCTCCTCCTCATTCCCTTCAGTTGTATCTTCCCTTTCATCTGAGACCTTTCCTTGATGTCGCCTTTTCTTCTTGCTTTTTCTGATGCTCTGGTCAGCGTGTTCTGGGTGCTTCTCATCTGCATCATTCCCTTTAGATATTGTAGCTTCTTCCTCCTCTTTCTGCTTCCTTTTCTTTTTCTTTTTTTTGGGGGGCGTGCTCTCTGACTGTGGTTGAGGGGTCCCAGGGTCCTGGCCTTTGAGACGAGCCAGGAAGGCCTGCTCCTGGGCCTCTAGGCGAGCAAGCTTTGCCTTCATTGTGATCCCAAGACGGGCAGCCCTGAAACAGACAGGGTCCAAGTCAGAGTGAGGGTATCAGGGGAAATGGGCCTAGTCCTTAAGCCTATAGGGAAAGTTGGTGGAGGGCCGGAATGGGGAGCTGCCTATCTTCAGGCAATAGATGGGTAGGTAGAGGAATCATTTCCCTGGGGTAAAAAGAACCAAGAAGTGGCACAGGCCATGCTCAGAGGTGGGGAGAAAAGAAGGGAGCTCAAGGGGCTGACCACTACTTACTTGTGTGCTGTTCGCCCCTCACAGGCTTGGAGCAGCATCTCATCAGTCAGACTGTTAGGGGAGATTGGCAGTTACAAACAGACCTGGTAGAAAGGCTTAACCTCTCTTCCCTCTAAAACACTCCTTCAACACTGAGTTCTTATTCAGGACCTGGCACTTCCTGAGGTACTAGGGATACAAAGATTAGTACAACACAGTTCCACCCACCCCCAAGAAGCCCCCAGTAAAGCATTAGACTTAGCCGTTTCTCTTGTGATCTGAGGACATCTCCCACATTCCCCAAGGGCTAAAATGAAGTCTCACATCTTTGGGGACTTGGGCCCCTGGTTGTCATCACTGCAGCTCTCCAAGTCTTTGTGCGGCTTCTCTTCACCTGAAGTCAACGTGGCCGTCTAGGAGGGGTCATGCAGGTGGACAAGCCTTCTCAACACCACCGACCATCCCTATTCCCTTGTGGAAGCCCCCTAAGAATTCATAGCTCCAGACAGGAGTTAGCCAGCCCCCACCACTGCTCCTGGAGGAGCCACGGGGAGGTGTGGCATCCTGCATACTTGAACATGGACAGGAGACAGGCTGCTGCTGCTGCTGGGATGTGCAGTAGCTTTGCCCTCTCTGGCCCACAGCTGGCTGGTGAGCAGAACAAGAAAAGGAAACGCTCTGGTTCATCAGGTCTTCACAGTGGTACAAATGCCAGTGACTGACAGTAAAGATGCCCTGCTCCACCCCCACCACAGTACCTTTTCATAGTACCTTCACTTAATCAGATTAACTTAGAGTCTACTGTGGGCCAAGGAGTTGGGGATTCAGAGTGGATGAAGAATGAGATGGGTCCAGCCCAGGTGGAATTTACACAGGCAATTATGACAGAAGTGTTGCCTGTGATGGAGGAAGGGTACTCAACTCAAACTTTAGAGAATGGCTTCTACAAATAACTAATGTATACACTGAGCTCTGGATGATAAGAAATAGCACGTAAAGGAGGAAAGGGAAAGAGTGTCACAAGCAGAGGGAGTAACGTGCAATAACCCGAAGAAGGAAGAATGTAATACCAAAGAAACGGGCTGGAATCGTTAGGCTAGTGGTTGGTGAAAGTGTAGTGGTCCTGGAGAGAAGTGGCAAGAGATGAGGCTGGAGATGGCAGGAACAGGCATGCAGGGCCATGTAAGCCAGTCCAATAAATCTGGACTGTGTTATACTAGGTCAAAGAAGACCCAGTGACTTGACATAAATTTATGTTTTAGAACAATCTGGATGCTTTGTGAAGGAGGGACTGGCTGGGTTGGGGAGTGAGACTAGAGGTGTCCTTAGGAGGCTGGTGGAGAAAGTAATTAGGCAAGAAATGATGATGGCCTGAAATGGGGTAGTAGATGGCAACAGAGAGGTAGAGCAATGGGGTAGATTTGCCAGATAACATGTATGGCCCTTAGCACATAGTGACCATTGTATGTCAGCTTCCTGCTATTGGTGTAGTAGAAAGGGGAGGTCTTGAGACCTGGGTTCCAGTCCTGTTTGCCATTACTAGCCTGCTGTGGACTCTTCAGCAAACCACTTTTTACCCTTTTAGCCACATCTGCAAAGCAGGGATGGTTCAGATAATCTCTCAGGTCTCCTCTGGCTACTAAGTCCTTTGAATTAGATGTCCCCTGGCCCCCCACCCCCCAAGATTGGCAGCTCCTGACTTAAGAGACTGTACCCTACTTCCCACTCCCTATTACTGCTCCCTTAACAGATGGCAGGATCCATGGAACCTGAAGATCTCAATTCCTGCTGTCAGGGTCTGGGTAGTCTTAAGTAAGCAATAGCAAGGCTGGCCACAGGAGCCCAATATGTTAGGAAAGTCCTGAGAATTGATAAGGCATACAAGGCAGCTGTTCAGGCCCCAGGGAAACTAGGAAACAGAAAAAGGATGGGCTCTGTCACCCACAGCCTCTAATACCTTCACAAACTTCTGATACAGCAAGTTGGGCTTAGGATGATTATAACGGGTGGTCTCCTTAGAAAGCCTCCTTATCTGTACTCCATCCTGTAGAGAATGATCAGTACCAGTGAGTGGGTGACATACTGTGACTGCCCGCCCACCCCACAGGTCCCAGGCCCTGTTTCATGTGCCCATATATCAAGAGCTCATACCTGCCCAGTTTCCACTACCAAGTTGGCCGCAGTCTTGTTGAAGAGCTCATTCCACCAGTGGTTTGTGAACTCCTTGGCAGGGTCATGTCCTATCTGCCAGGGGAATACATATGAGCTCTGAGTGCCTGCCTCACCTGCCCTCAAGGGTACCCTCTCTCGTGCATGCTAACCTCCCTCAGCCTACCCAATCTTACCCCATGAGTGTCTTGCTTCAGCGTCACCCTGAGGGCCTGGGTGATACCATTTTCCTTCCGGCCGAGTCCTTTGCCTGCAGAGGACAGTGAGTAACTTGGCTTATTCTCCTGTCTGCTGTCAGCCCTCACGAGGCACCCCACACATGTGCCTCTTGCCAATCCAGATACCTGACACTGGGGTATACTCTGTACCACTCAGCAGCCCTCCCAGCTCCTTTCTTTCTAGTACCACTCCATATAGTTCCCTGCCTTTGTGTGAGTCTGAACTATTGCTTCCTTCATAATTCTTTTTTTTTTTTTGAGACGGAGTTTCACTCTTGCTACCCAGGCTGGAGTGCAATGGCACGATCTCGGCTCACCGCAACCTCCGCCTCCTGGGTTCAGGCAATTCTCCTGCCTCAGCCTCCTGAGTAGCTGGGATTACAGGCACGCGCCACCATGCCCAGCTAATTTTTTGTATTTTTATTAGAGACGGGGTTTCACCATGTTGACCAGGATGGTCTCCATCTCTTGACCTCATGATCCACCGCCTCGGCCTCCCAAAGTGCTGGGATTACAGGCTTGAGCCACCGCACCCGGCCCCCTTCATGATTCTTTTGGGAGAGAGGCCATGTCTCTTCTTCCCTCCCCTAGTCCTCCTAACTACTTATTATCCACTGTCAAATTTCTTCGATTCTTCCCTTTTCTGGGAAAGTCAGAAATTTTCTTCTGCAAATTTCCCTTTTCCTCTTTTAATTAAATGGACCACATGGGAGGTAATCCAGGACGATGCCTCTCCCCTGTGCAGAAGGTAGGCGGGCAGTTGGGGGATGTGGAAGAGGCCCCATGGGGATCACCTTGAGTCCATCCATGCTTTAGCAGCTGCTCCTCAGCAAACTTCATCCCACGACTCTTGACCTCTGGGGTGACATTCATGGTGAGAAAAAAGTCTCTATCCTCAGACTCTCACCAGAGAAGAAGAGGTGATATCATCCTTTTAAGAAGAAAGGAGAAAGGGCCCAAACAGCTATCAGTTCCATCCTGACTGCTTAAGAATTCTCTGCTAGTCAGGTGCAATGGCACACACATGTGGTCCTAGCTACGTGGGAGGTAGCTGGGACTGAGGTGGGATTGCTCAAGTCCAGCCTGGGCGGTAGAGCAAGACCCTCTCTTATAAAAAGAAGAAAGCAGCCAGGTGCAGTGGTTCACATCTGTAATCCCAGCACTTTGGAAGGCCAAAGTAGGAGGATCACTTGAGCCCGGCAGTTCCAGACCAGTGTGGGCAACAGAGTGAGACCCTGTCTTTAGGAAAAATTAAAAATTAAAAAAAGAATTATCTTTCTTGAGCGCTGGGGAGAGACAGAGGAAGGAGGTGGCCTAGTCTTTGGGGAGCTGCCTATCTGGCTACAGAAACACCAACATACGGAGAAGTCAAGGAGGAATGGTGTCTCAATTCTGATACCTACATTTATGGTGTGCCCAACACATGCCAGGATGTGCTAAGGACTTAAGATTATTTCATTTAATCTTCCCAGCCCATTCAGGGAAATATTAGCCTATTTTAAAAATGAGTAAAGCAAGGCTTAAAGAGGTTAGGTGACTTCAAGTCACAGAGGTAACATGTAGAATTCAAGCCCAGGCAGCTCGTCTGCAGAATCTATACTCTACACAGTAAATCTATACTCTTTACATAGTATCTCCCGAAATATATTACCTTGTAAACACAAACCTAATGAGGTGCTTATTGACCTGAGTCATAAGATAATGGTACTTGGTTGAGACCAGATCCTGTACTTATGCTTTAGCGTTTACACTGTCGTCTTGGTGTGGAGGCTACACACTTCTCCGACACCACTGCAGTATTTCAGTCTGGCTGGAGTTTCCCTTTTGAAAGTGTCCAGATTAGGAGGAGCATTCTTACTGAGCACTTACTGCATAAGAGGTAGATTACATATACTGACACAATCTTTTTTTTTTTTTTTTTTTTTTTTGAGACAGGGTCACTCTGTCACCCAGGCTGGATGGAGTGCAGTAGTACAATCATGGCTCACTGCAGCCTCAAACTCCCGGGCTCAAGCAATCCTCCCACCTCAGCCTCCCGAGTAGCTGGGACCACAGGCACATGCCACCACACCTGGCTAATTTTTGCTTTTGTACATACAGGGTTTTGCCATGTTGTCCAGGCTGCTCTCTAACTCCTGGGCTCAGGTGATCTGCCTACCTCTGCTTTCCAAAATGCTGGAATTACAGCTGTGAGCCACCATGCCTGGACTTAACTCATTTAATCTTGATAGTTCTGTGAGATAGATATTATTATTATTTTACAAATGAGGAAAACAAGGCCTGGGTTTCTTGCCTAAGGTTACATGGCTAGTAAATAATGGAGCTGGAATTAAACGATGGAGCTAGAATATAAGCCCACGTCACCTGACTCCAAAGTGGTCCTCTTTCTTTCTTTCCTTTCTTTTCTCTCTTTCTCTCTTCTTTCTCTCCCTCCCTTCCTCCATCCCTCCCTCCTTCCCTCCTTCCTTTTGGAGTCCCAGTCTGTCACCCAGGCTGGAGTGCAATGGTATGATCTTGGCTCACTGCAACCTCTGCCTTTCAGCTTGAAGCGATTCTCCTGCTTCAGCCTCCCAAATAGCTGTGACTACAGACGTGTGCCACCATGCCCAGCTAATTTTTATATTTTTCGTAGAGATGGGGTTTCACCATGTTGGCCAGGCTAGTCTTGAACTCCTGACCTCCGGTGATCCACCCGACTTAACCTCCCAAAGTGCTGGGATTACAGGCGTGAGCCACGGTGCCCGGGCAAGAACTGATGTTCTTCATCACTACACTCTTCAGTCTTAAGCTTTTTGTGCTTTCTCCTGTAAGACCACAGCCTAACCAATGTCGCAATAATTCAAAACTATATGCCCTGGAAGTAAGAGACCAGCTTTATTCCGCAACTCCAGAGCACGTAACGCAGCGTGCCTTCAGTCGTTATTTGTTGAACTGAATGAGTGGGAACGGCTTTAACGGATTTTCAATGGAACTGGACAGAAGCTGTGCACCCCATGTTTCTGAAAGCTGTGATCAGACTTTGGGCACTGTCACCTCTACAGTCTGCGTTTTCAGAAGTGGCCCCAGGTCCACTTGTCTTACAGCAGTCCGAAAAAGCCGGCCGCACTTTCCCTAGGCTTCCTCGCTCTTGGTGTCTAAATTCTAGCCCTCCTACCACAGTGCCACTAGTATAAAAATACTCCGCTCCTCTTATATTTACTACTAAGCCCAGGTTCCGACTACCACCGTTCGGAGAAGGGAGCCCCTTACCGTCATTGCCGGGTCCTCTCCGCGGAAACATGTGTCAAACGAGACTTGTGCGCCGCCATCTTCCCGGAAATGCCATGTTGTTCCTTCTATCCTGCAGAAACCATAGAGACGTCCGCGGGAACGAAAATCACGGTCCTCCCAAGAGAAACCATTGCGTAGGCCAACTTGCCGGTATGGTTGCCATAGAAACTGGGACCCTGGAGCGTGCCCATTCCGGAGGTTCCGAGGCTCAAGGATTTGTCTCATGCCTGCAATCCTTGATCAGCCCAGGGACTTCAGTACCAACTAGCCCTCTCAGGATGCCCAGAACTGCTGTGTGTCCTACACTGAGCTAGTCCCGGGTACAAATATCAGAAAGCAAAACTCTAGGGAAGCATCAAGAGTAGCTTGAGAAATTCGTGGAGGCAGAATAGGTGATGGCTATTCTGTGTCCTGACTAGCTGTGTCCTGATTTTGCAGGGTTGAATACTCAAGAATACTCAGCCTTCACAGTAACAGTTATTTATACAAGCCTAGAGACTAGACATCTCAATAGGTTCATCCAGCACTTTTTTTTCCCCTCGAGACAGGGTCTGTCTCTGCCGCCCAGACTTGAGTGCAGTGGCACAATCTCGGCTCACTGCCACCTCTGCTTCCTGGGCTCAAGTGATCATCCCGTCTCAGCCTCCTGAGTAGCTGGGACCACAGGTATGCACCACCACTCCTGGCTGTTTTGTATTTTTTGTAGAGAAAGGGTCTTGCCACGTTGCCTAAGCTGGTCTCCAACTCCTGGCCTCAAATAATACACACGCCTCGGCCTCCCAAAATGGTGGGATTACAGGCATAAGCCACCATGAATGATCAGCCTCATCAAACACCTTTTGACTTACCACTGTGTTGAGAAACATTAAGTTTGCCCTGCTGCCATGTCGCCTCTGTGAAGGATACCTTTTAGTTTGTAATTAGTGGTAGGCGTGTAACAGCTGCCTCCTTGGTATATTCTTGAGTTATATATAAACATAGAGCACCTGTGTATTAGTAAGAATCACCTGTCAAAGAGCAAATAAATGCGTGGATGAGAATCTTCTCGGGGCCTTTTAGTCTGGAGAGCTGTCAGCCCAGCAGGCTTTCAGGCTGTTGGTCCCCAGGATAGATCACTCTGTTGTGCTATCTGGGTGTCTGCCTCTCAGATACCTTCAGCGCTGCCTGGATGTGCATCTCCCGACCGAGCTGGTTCTCGGTACCACTGTGTGCCAGAACTTGTCCCTTTGGTAGTGGGGAATACAAAGATGGATAAGTCACAGGTCTTGATTTCAGGTAACACCCAGTCTATCCTGGGAAAGTTTGGACCTTCAGTGGGATTGGATGGAGGACATGGCGGATGAGACTTGGAGAAAGATGCAGGATGGGTGAGGCTGTTGGCTCATGCCTGTAATCCCAGCGCTTTGGGAAACTAAGACAGGCAGATAGCTTGAGCCCAGGAGTTCGAGACCAGCCTGCCTGGGCGACATGGCGAGACACCAGTTCTATGGGCAAACTTGAGTTTTGACTTAGTGTCTTGCAGTCACTGAGAAAATTCCATAGGCAGGGCTTCAATTTCCACACCCCAACCCCTCTCCATCTTTTCTATTCCTTCTATCTAAAATATGTGTGTGTGTATTATATACAAAATAGTATGTTACATAAATATTTCATACATATGTATATGTATGTACACTTATATATACATAGTCATGTGTGTGTGTACATATAAATATGTAATATATAAGAGTTTTTAAAATTCTGAATGAGATAACCTTCAAGGTCCCTTTCCAACCTAGAGTTTTTGTGTGACGCACTTTGCCAGCCACTCCCAAGACTTAATGGCCATAAATCTTTGACTGAAGATTCCTAGTCTGGCCTAAGTCTTTGAGCTTACCATTCTGCCTGACTCGATGAGGGACTGCAGGAGAAATGGGTCTCAAGGAGTTCACAGTTTAATGGGGCCTCATACCTCCTCACAAGGGTAGAAATAAAGGCCATTATTAGAAAACAAGAATACAAAAATACTTATAAAGAAATGATCTGAAAGTCCGATAACAAGATGCATAGAAATATTTATTACAGTAATATGTATAAAATGGAAAAATTGGCAAGAATCAAAATTATCTCATGACAGGAGGAAGGCAAAATAAATTACAGTGTAAACATACAATGGACTAATGTGTAGTCTTCAAAAATTATGTTGAATAATTTTTTTTTTGAGATGAAGTCTTGCTCTGCCACCAGACTGGAGTGCAGTGGTGTGATCTCAGCTCATTGCAACCTCCACTTCCTGGCTTCAAGTGATTCTCCTGCCTCAGCCTCCTGAGTAGCTGGGACTACAGGTGCTCACCACCATGCCCAGCTAATTTTTGTATTTTAGTAGAGACAGGGTTTCACCATTTTAGCCAGGACAGTCTCAATTTCTTGACCTTGGCCAGGATGGTCTCAGTCTCTTGACCTTGTGATCTGCCTGCCTCAGCCTCCCAAAGCATTGGGATTAAAGGCATGAGCCCCTGTGCCCGCTTGAAGAATTCTTAATAGCTTGGGTACATGTCTATGATACAATTGAAATGAAAAAAGATACAAAATGTTACCTACAGCAAGAACCTATCTATGTTAAAAATTCAAAGGCAGGCTGGGTGTGGTGGCTTACACCTGTAATCCCAGCACTTTGGGAAGCCAAGGCAGATGGATCACTTGAGGTCGAGGATTCAAGACCAGCCTGACCAACATGGTGAAACCCCGTCTCTACTAAAATATTACAAAATTAGCCGGGCATTGTGGCTCACACCTGTAATCCCAGCTACTTGGGAGGGCTGAGGCGGAAGAATTGCTTGAACCCAGGAGGAGGAGGTTGCAGTGAGCCAAGATTGTGCCATTGCACTCCAGCATGGGCAACAAGAGCAAAACTCCATCTCAAAAAAAAAAAAAAAAAAAAAAAAAAAAAAAAAAAAAAAAAAGAAAGAAAGAAAAGAAAAGAAAAAGAAAAAAAATTCAAAGGCAATGGGATCAAAAGTAATAAAATACTTAGGAATAAATTTAACAAAACAAGTGCAAGCTTTATACATTGAAGTTACAAAACCTCATTGAAAAAAACTAAGAAGAGATTAGTAAATGGAAAGATGTCCTGTGTTCATGCAATGGAAGACAATATTGTTAAGAGGACAGTACTCTCTAAATTGATCTATAATTTCAACACAATCCCTATCAAAATCCCAGCTGCCTTTTTTTTTTTTTTTTTTGCATAAATCAACAAGCTCATCCTAGAATTCATATAGAAATGCAAAGGGCTGGCTGGGCCCAGTGGCTAGCACCTGTAATCCCAGCACTTTGGGAGGCAGAAGCAGGAGGATCACCTGAGGTCAGGAGTTCGAGACCAGCCTGGACAATATGGTGAAACCCCATCTCTACTAAAAATACAAAAATTAGCCAGGTGTGGTGGTGCATGCCTGTAGTCCCAGCTACTCAGAAGGCTGAGGCAGGAGAATTGCTTGAACCCAGGAGGCGGAGGTTTCGGTGAGCCGAGATCGTGCCATTCACTCCAGTTTGGGTAACAACAGCGAAACTCCGTCCTAAAAACAAAACAAAACAAAACAAAAACAAAAATTAGCCAGGTGTGGTGGCACAAGTATGTAATCCTAGCTATTTGGGAGGCACGAGAATTGCTTGAACCTGGGAGGTGGAAATTGCAGTGAGCCGAGATCATGCCATTGCACTCCAGCCTGGGTGACAGGGTGAGACTCTGTCTCAAAAAAAAGGAAAAAGAGAGAAAGAGAGAAAAGAAAAGAAATGCAAAGGGCCCAGAATAGCCATAACAATCTTTGAAAGGAACAAAGTTGTAGGACTCACACTTCCTGATTTCAAAACTTACTACAAAGCTACAGACTTTGTGGTTTTCAAAGAGGATAGACATATAGATCACTGGAATGGAATTGAGAATCCAGAAATAAACCCATGCGTTTATGGGCAATTGATTTTGAACAAAAGTGCCAAAACAGTTCAATGGAGAAAGAATAGTCTTTTCAACAAATGGTATTGGCTGCACACAGTGACTCATGCCTATAATCCCAGTGCTTTGGGAGGCCAAGGCAGGAGGATCACTTGAGCTCAGGAGTTTGAGACTGGCCCGGGCAACATAGTAAGACATCCTCTCTACTAAAAATAAAAATTAGCTGGGTGTGGTGGCTCATGCACACCTGTAATCCTAGCACTTTGGGAGGCCAGGATGGGTGGATCACCAGAGATCAGGAGTTTGAGACCAGCCTGGCCAACATGGCGAAATCCTGTCTCTACTAAAAATACAAAAATTAGCTGGCATGGTGGCCGGTGCCTATAATCCCAGCTACTCGGGAGGCTGAGGCAGGAGAATTGCTTGAACCCAGGAGGCAGAAGTTGCAGTGAGCTGAGACCATGCTGCTTCACTCCAGCCTGGGCAAAAGAGCGAAACTCTGTCTCAAAAAAAAAAAAAAAAAAAAGATAATTAAAATCTAAAAAGTAACGGAGTGTGGTGGACCACGCCCATAGTCCTGGCTACTTGGGAGGATGGGAAAACTGCTTGAGCCTGAGAAATCAAGGCTACAGTGAGCTGTGATTGTGCCACTGTGCTCCAGCCTAGGTGACAAGAGTGAGACTGTCTCAAAAAAAAAAAAAAAGGAAAGAATCCTGTTAAGTCAATTTAGCATGAAGCCCCCCCATTCTGTTTTGTTTTGTTTTGTTTTGGGGATGGGGTCTTTCTCTGTTGCCCAGGCTGCAGTGCAGTGGTGAGATCATGGCTTCCTGCAGCCTCGACCTACTGGACTCAAGTAATCCTTCCACCTCAGCCTCCTGATTAGCTGGGACCACAGGCATGGCCCACCACACCTGGCTAATTTTTGTATTTTTTGTGGAGATGGGGTTTCCTCATGTTGCTCAGACTGGCCTCCAACTTCTGGGCTCAAGCGTTCCTCTTGCCTTGGCCTCCCAAAGTGCTGGGATTACAGGAGTGAGCCACTGCGCCCATCCTGAGCCCCCTACTCTTGATACCTGATCACCCTTGATATCTGATCAGGTTCCTCATCCTTCACCAGCCATCTGGTGATATCTGAT